AAAGCTCGAACTAGTGAAATAACCAGATTATTCTGGGGGATGAGCACTTTTAAAATATATGATATTTCGAAATCCCTGGTTGGTTGGAAAGTTATTTGACCAAATAGCCTGCGACTACGCAATACAACTATTCCGTTTTGGTTTAAACCTGAGCTTTACGAAGTGACGGCCACGATACATGTCCGGGATGTTTCCGTCAAAGATACGAAATCAGTAAGTGTTTGGAAAATCCACGCCGGAAGTACAATATCGCCTTACACGTTTGAGAAAGCTATATGGAGCAGCGGAATACAACTTGGCTTTATCTGATAGAACAATCGAGAGAAGCACTATCTAGTTGAGGGTAGGTAGTAGCATCTACCAAAATTGCTTTTTCTGTGAGTTGCGTTGCTTCAAGGCCAAGAGATGAAAACTCTAGGTAATATGAGTATTAATGAAAGCGTAAATGTGGCAACACGGTTCAACTTGACCGTAAAGTCACATTTGAGATCACAGCGTGGCTCAGTAGTTTGCTGGCGATAGCGACTATCCGAAAGGTTGGGAATCTCATCACACACGCTAAATTCGAAGTGCACACAATCGACATTTTTTGCTAAGCTTGCAAAGGCAGCTCACCCGGCAAGACTAAAACGAGGACGTTGTCGAAATTAGTTCATATCTGTGGGACCATGCAGCTCAAAATTGGCATCTATGTGAATGACGCTCCGTGTTTGTTGAGGTTACTGAAAGGAGAACATTAGCAATGGTCTACTTCTCCTAGGGTTCAGACAAACAAATTGATTTTTTACTTAAGTGCTGAGGAAAGCCAAAACCATCGTAAACTTTAAGCCGTCTTCTGCTTGTATTTTTCAGTTTGTCTGAGCCGGAAAGTGATAAGTCTAACTGCCACAATTCCGCCAACTTGTATCTGGACGGTAAGTTACCAATATTTCCGGGTAAAAATCGTGTCGTTTTCACTGAAAATACTTCATTTAACGAATGCTGTTCCTTTTTTGTTTGCTGAGGTGTCAATTCAAGCACCGATATTCAGAGGAAACCATAATAAGCAGCACGAGAGTTAATACCTTCCCTCACCGTCTAAGCTTTTTCTGAACCGGACAATTCCCCACATCAGACTCAGTTGGGAGGCACCGAATATACCTCTACTAATACGGAAATCGTTCGCGAGAAATTCTTCAGTTAGATTAGGGGTAAAGAAATGCATTTACTGTCCTATTGGTTCATTCTTATGAAATGCCATCAGCTTAATTAGATAGATCACATGTCTCCTATACAGAGATGGTTCTGACTGGTTTATGGTAAAAGGGATCAGTGAGGTTTCACAAAGCGTCAACACAAGACATTCAGACGTCCCAAGTTAGTTCCGGAATTTTCTTCCAAGAGTAAATCCACAATGCTCAGTGAACCACAGCAGAGACTCATATTTGGGCTATTGGTGCATTACAAAGGCTGTCACAGTGGACAGATATCAGCTTGACATCTATTAAGTTAGTTGTTTGAGATTTTCTAGTATTATCCAAACGAATGACAGTGCAACCTCAGTCTTTCAAGCAAACAGAGAGCCGGTGACGGTCAGCTGTTTTATGCTTTTCTCTCCCTGTGATAACACCGTCACCTTAATGTGAGTCTTCTATTTTATTGTGGGTTCCATTCCAAATAATCATAGTGGTTGCTGGCATGTTATAATGCAAGTTAATCGAGGATTTATCTTGTAAATTGTAAACTGAATTTATCTTGTAAATATTTCTAGCGAAACCCACTGCCCATCGATATGACACAGTTTAATTCCGATAAGAAGCCGATTTTCAGTGAACAACTTGATATCATTCTGGCCCCTGCAAATACTCCCAGCTCAATTACCGGTAAGTTACTATTGACATACAGTAATGAAGACTTCAAAAGCCTCTTCCACCGTTACTTTGGATTCTTTGCAATAATTGCTTTACTACAGTCGTCGTTCTGAATTATCATGCTTGTCATTTCAAGTCTTTTGGCTGAATCAATCAAAGTGTGTTGTGGTTCTTAAAGAGAGCACCGGTTTTTGTTCGACAGGGAGCTCATTTTAACCAATCACTGTGGTTATTTGGGTTGCACCTAGAACATTCGCTAAATGTTCCTCGCAATCGAGCCTTGCAATACTTAGACAGTGGTATACCTGTTATGGGTTTAGGCAGACGTTGTTGCAGTACGGGATCCCTCTCGAAGGGCCATTCTGTCACTGACTATAGCAACGGAGCAATGGAGCAAATTAATGAAGATTTCATTCAGCTGATTGTTGCCCTCCCCCAGCAGACAGAAATAAACCACAAGCGGTACATGTTAGGAGACAACTTTTAAGTCAGGTGGACCTGCAGAAGTGAGAACTTCATATGGGGTCGGGTTCAACCACCTCACAAGATTCCAACCACCAATGAGCTGCCAAAAGTTTGGAGTCCCTTTTCAATTCCAGTGTATAATCAAACGACGAAACAAAATTATTCTTAGTGGACCCGTTTTTGACTCACACTTACTGCTCAAGCTGAAGGAAGCACACGGTGCTGATGCAGTATAAGCCGACCAGGTCTAAGCACCAGCTATTTAGGCTTAAAAGAAAGCTTCTAATCAGAAGGTCGAACCTAAATTTCAGCCTTATGGGGCTCAAACCATTATTTGGATGTAGGATGACCTCATTTCAGCTGGCAGGAATAGCTGCCTGATGAACTGTTTAGTCAACACACAGCAGGATGAACAATAATGTGAATTTCATGGGGCTATTGAATATATGCTGGATCTCAAATGGAAACGCTATCATGGTTACAAATTATGGGGTCCACCCTGATGCTTCCATAGTGTCGTTTCTAAATGGTAATCATGGTATGCCTCACAATTCTTGGTACTGAAATCTCATGACAACCCGTCGTAGAAGTGAAGCCAATCTTTTCCGAAATTTCGGAAGGCACTTTACAGCTGCTCAAGCATCGTTAGGAATCATGAGCAGTGCGTATGTCATGAAGTTCTAGGGATTTTTGAATTCTTTACTCTCCGGCTAGTAGTTTGAAAACCTACCGTTCGGTTGAATCATGAGCAGTGCGTATGTCATGAAGTTCTAGGGATTTTTGAATTCTTTACTCTCCGGCTAGTAGTTTGAAAACCTAACCGTTCGGTTACCAGCAGTTGATCAGCAGTGTGGCGGGATCCACACCACGTGGCCACATGGTCACCTGCTAACTGGGTCCTCCAGTAACCACTTCTCAGATGGAAGGTTCACTCATCCTGTGAATATAATATCCTTTGATATTCTAAACATCACTTTGAATATCCTCCTTCGAAGGTGTTCCATTAGCCGTAGTAGTGCTGCACACACCCTCTTGCATGTTTATCCCTGAAAACCTCTACTACGGTTGTTTCCAAATTCGTATTCGTAAACAAGTTTGTGTATATTTGTCTTCTGTTCTCTCTAGTCTATAGATAATCACGTAAGACAGTTTTTTAATCTTTCATCCTCTCAAACTGTCTGTTGGTTAATGCTCCACTGTTTAACTAATGCTACATTCATAACTATCTTCACTTTTAGTAACCTGTACCTGTTTCGAGGACTATGTAATAATCAGTGGAAAACGGATCGGTATCAGTCAGATCGAACTTTCAAATGTGCTGCACTATCGTCCGGTAGGTTGTGCCCAGGTTTGAAGCCAAATGATTGGCGCCTAACCACGTTTCAGAAAATGACACTTTTAACCCTGGTTTTAATTGTTCCTGTTGAAAACTGAAAAACTAACCATGGGAGTTGTTAGTTCTATAGGCTGGTAGAATCAAAGTTTGTTTTCCGAATTATCATCAGAAACAGCACATCATAGGAATGATGTGAACACGTTTAATACAGAAAAATAATTGAAAACTACGATGTCTGTCATTAAACGCGCTGTCTTGCAACAGTTTTCCATTGTGAATTCTTTGGAACAATACACATCCGGCAAACCCCACAACATGCATCAACAAACTTGTCCAGCGGGCTTCAAGTGGCTATGGCGCTACCTGACTTGGAAGTCCTGACAAGCGGGTCAATCGATCGTCACAACCGAGACAGTTACTGGGTTGTCGCGTCGATGATGTGTCGGGCATACCCATCGCATCGTTCAAGCGTGAACAAGTTCACCCGTTCAGACGTGAGAACTCAGATGCATCCAACGTACGCTGGTGGAATAGTGGTAACAGGTTCGTCTCGCATGTCAGGTGTCCGGAATTCAAACCTCGGCACGGTGAAACTCGAGTCCAGTGCTTCCCTTTGGTGTGGACTCACCGGAATAATTGCACCAGGACAGGAGGACGACTGTTCAAACGAGAGTGATGTGAACGTGAACAGTTATGTTTCTCTCAGCATTTGGCTTCGGCACAGTTAGGCAAACTTTTGGTGTAAACACTACTGAAATTGGGCACCATATTTTGCCTTTTTACAAGCTCTCAATGCCAGTAAGGGCCATCAAAGGCCTTGATTGATTCGTTCAGATCACAACAGACTTTTCAGTGCGGTGCTGTGAACGTCACAGAACAACATTTCGGAAACTGACAAGAAAACCGTCCTTGTGACTGCAATAGACGATATGCGATGACTGCACACTCGCTAGCCAGATTGTTCCGCTTGACTTTATTAAAAACAGGTCTCCTGAAGAATCATTTTTCATTAAGATTCTGCATTTCTCGCCCATTGACCCGGATGTTTTTTGGATTCATAAAGAAAACGGCCGAAATTCATTTACGGAACAATGTATACAGGACCTCTCACCTTTCTGACCCATCGCTGTGCGAAAACAATGCCTCTTCAAACTCTTGTTTCTCCACTATGAATTACAGGCTAAAGCACTGACCTCGTCTGGACTGTTATTCATTCAGTGAGTCTGTTTGGAAGTNGTCTGGACTGTTATTCATTCAGTGAGTCTTTTTGGAAGTCACATTACTGTACATTAACAAGAAGTCACCGCGTTCAACAAACGGTTGATAAAACTGTAGACCTGGACAAGTTGATTGATCTTAGAGCTGCTTGCGGATGGTGCGACTGTGGTATAGGACTCACGGACCAACTTTTGTGGGTCTCCGACGTGACTCAAACAGATGGCTCAAAAAATTTTGCAGAAGTAAAACTGGCATTCAGCGCAGTGAAATGTGAAGCCTCATATTCTGATTTAGATTTAGATTTCACCCCAAACGGCAATCCGTTGGGTATTAAATGTTTTTTAAATAGAACAACAAACCAGCGTGCACGTGCTTCATGAACGTGAAGAATTCAAAAAGGTTTTATGACGAGGAGTGAACTCGGGTACAAACAGTCAGAATGGGAATTCAACCTAGTATTAACTTGTGTGTAGTATAGCTGAGAAAGAGCGATGTGGTGTTCTGGTATGAACTAGATTATGTATTCTTAACTTTTAAATTTCAACACAGATGATGCTTTTAGTCAAATACCAGCCTGTCATCAGAAGACCTTGGTCTCTGTAGAAGGCTGTTCTTCACACGGGTTGTTCTTGTTTTGATAGGCTAAAGGATATTGCTAGTTGTATGCTCAACGTTCTTCATAAAACCCTTGAACCAGGTTGGGCGTAGAAATGGAGCAGAAGTAATGAATCTACTGGTAACATACTCAGTCTCATTACCCAAGTACACCTGTCCTTCTCTTTATGCTCGCCCCCCGTGCAGGTTGATATGGAGCAGCCTGAGCTGCTGGAATTCTCTCTTCCATCCTCCTGTATTACACGCGACGTGCTCACCTCGGCTCTCAGATGCTGTATTCTGAATGGAAAGAGGGACGGGACACTTGGGGAGCTTCAGAAGCCAACAAGAATTAGGGGCACTGAGACGTTACGAAATGGGAACAATTCAGCAAACATGTCCATTTGGCTCATGTTGAAGCCAAAAACGAAAGCGAAACGCCTGTTTTTGGAGCAGGTAACTTCATTTTTCTATTTAATGTACAAATATGACACGGATGTACCAGAATTTGTTACTGAGACGTAAATGGGAACAATTCAGCAAACATGTCCATTTGGCTCATGTTGAAGCCAAAAACGAAAGCGAAACGCCTGTTTTTGGAGCAGGTAACTTCATTTTTCTATTTAATGTACAAATATGACACGGATGTACCAGAATTTGTTCGCTTCACATTCAGCTTCAAAGTCTACGTCTTCGTATCCCACACCAACTACCTACCTCAATCTTAAAAAAGGCAATCTCAAAGACTGTAATTATCATGTCCTCCATGAGGATCGTGAAAAGCTATGAAGAGTTTCGCTAATCCCAACAAATGTCTATGCACATTTAGGTGAGCGAAAACCACATAGGTGCCAGAGAAGTTAAAAATACGTTATCTACCAAAGTTTTTTATTGCTTCAGCAACTCATAGTGCCTTTGTCACTGGCTGGGATGTACTTGGTGAGACAATACTGAATAAAGCAAAACAGTCGGACGTGTAAAAGTCATTGACACAGTAAATCCGTCTACGTTTCCTCTAAACTGAAACTATCCGATTTTCGTGTGATATCTTCAAGTGTTTTTTTCAGAGGTTTTGCTACGTAACAAACCCTTAGATGTACACTTTACGTGGAAAACTGATGCAGATGGAATAAATGTTGACATCTTGTCAATTGTCTTCTCACGATTTCGATGAAACGTTTCATCGGCTGTGCCACACTGCAGCGGATTGTGACGCCTGCGCCTACTGTGTATAGAAATAAGTAATCTGTGACACTAAAAGTTTTATTACTACCAGAATTACAATCCCTTCTTTCTGTTTGACACTTTCTCACTCTAAAAACAGTGTGGATCCCTACAGGCTAGTCGTAAGATATATGAAATAGTGTAGATACCCCACAACCCATCTCGCCCTGTTTGGAGCGCAGCAGATAGCCATAGTCCTCACAGTTCTATCAATCTTACTTCCTGCTTGGAAACGAATTTGTACTCAGCTAAACATTCATTTACAAATCAAAATGGTGTAGGCAGGGGAAATTCGCCTGAAAATCTGCTGTATAGTATGCACAAACACGTCCTCCTCATGTTTTACTAGGAAGTTTACTTTTAGCTCATTTCTCTCACCACTTTTCGCAACGAATTGAGGCTTTCATTTTTGTTTGCTAGGCTATAACTATTATGCTTTGGAAGATTTCATTTGATATCGACCAACTGACAAACAGAAACAATTCAATGTAAATCCGTATCTCAGTGCCGTTAAGGTAGACTAACCACTCCTGACCAGTATAACGAACATCAGTATAAGTTTGTTTAACTTTTGGAGCTTATTAAGCGTAGCTACCATGTTAAGCTTTGCCGTTATTATGAATAATACCGTAAATACTTCCACAGAATGGAGCTTTTCCATGCTTTACAGGTAGCACCAGTCTGGCGTGCCAAAGGTCTTTTGCGACAGTCTGACTGCCTACCTAATCGTCAAGCAATGCGAGCAGCCTTCATCGCAACCGTGTTGTCACGTGATACTCAGTCAGTCCTATCTGACCTTCGAGGCCTCAGTTTTAGTCAGCTGAAATTCGATTCAGCAACTGAAGCGGGACTGTATTCTCTGAACCAGCTGATGACCGAGCAACCATCTGCTAAAGCTTGGCTAATGATTCATCAAAGCGAACTACGTCACATAGAGGCCAGTTGGAGTTTGGACAACTCCGTCGAAGGTATTTCTTCAGCGTATGACTATGCACTGTGCTGTGGAATCCATCTTGAGTCGTCAAACGTCCCATCATCTAATGCTGCTTGGGTGGACGAGATTCGAAGCGTGATTTTACGAAATTCAGAAGACAAAGATATCAGTCTGTTATGGACACATTCAGCAACTAACAATGAGTCATCTCCCACAGGAACACAAGATAACATTTGCAGGGAGATGAGGACAAAACCACTTCATCTCACGGTTGTGTGTGGAACCGTTGGAAGTCGAAAGGTATTCACCATTTGTATATTTATAGGTTGTCAGTGAACCTCCCTGCATTTGAGTTCTAGCTGTAGATCTGGATGCATTTCGCATCTGCAATATAAGCCATAGTTATACGTTTTAATGATTCCGACTGGTCAGGTCTCTACTAGTAGTAATAAGAGGATACAATGTACTCAAATTCCTTGTTTTCATTAACTGATTTTACAGCGTGTTTGAAAGTGACTTTGGTTGTACCACGTTAAAGTGAAAAAGGTATGCGTCACTGAACAGCTCGGGCACCATGAGTCATACATATCGAGTGTATATTAGATAACTAATGTCCGAGTCATTATTCACCCCCTTTTTTCTTGAGTTTTAGCCCCTTTTGATTTACAGAGGCCTTTGCACTACCGTTCAACATGGGTGGTAAAAGTAAACAATGAAGAAGTTTGGTTTGCTGGAATCGTTTGTAAAAGAACTAGTTCCATTAGTGGGATTTTGGTTAATTTTGACTCAAAAAACATAAATTATTTTAAACGCCTCGATTTTCATTTTGTGTGGTATCGAATAGTTCGTTAATTCTTTGAAGCTGTTTTAAGCGACTATGTACGACTAATTCCAAATAGTTCATATTATCCCTGTAAGTAATGGATGACGTGATTCCCCATCCTGAGATACAACATTTAGAATTGACCATGACTCATCGGTCACTTCTGCTCAGTTCGGTTCCAATTTCAAAAAATGAAGAAAATCGACTAGTGATATTAAATCAAATGGGGATTTAACAAAGTAGAGATTTTGCGTAATTGCATAAAACTTTCGTCCACCTAATTTCTCTCCGCTACACACGGCTTACTTAAATGTTTTCAGTAGGTTGGTTGTCAATATAAAGTATCGATCGAGTCGAACGCAATCATGACGTAGTATCCTTGATTTTTCTGAGACGAGTTATTGCGGCCTCACTCTAATTGTCATCAAACCAACGGCATATAAGCTCATATATATGCGAACAGTTAATCTGATTTCTTTAACTGCTCACTGCAGTTTACGTGAAGGTAAAACTGCCTATTTCGCTTGTCTAATAATAACCGAAATGGGGCACTGCAGCCAGCTTATAAGCACACTGTTGCTCAATAAATTAAAGCTGCCATAAATGTTAAACCTAAATGTTTGTATATTTACGGCACATGCGCTTGAGTGAAACTGTTCCCCTCGGTCCGCCCCAGAGAGGGCAGGCAGTAGATTCGAGTTCCGCTCTCCTTTGAAGTCACCGCCAGGGCATCTGCTCTGCCGTTTCGGGATTTGAATTGCTGCTGCTTGGTATGCGAACCAAACGTGTTAAAACTATTCCATCAGCGCATGCTTGACGCCCTTCTCCATACTTCTGTGCTATTTGATTCTCTGATTCAAAAGAATTCATGCAAATAGGTCTGTCTCCTAATCCTCAAAACTTCGCCAACTTTGTCAACACATCAGACAATGTACATCCAGATTATATAAAAATTGTAACTGGTGGAATCAAATGGTGGACAGCTTTGGGATAATTTATTGAAAATACAGCTGCATGGTCAGGAGCTGTCCATAGTAATCCCTCCAGTGGTAACCCATTTTTGGGTAGTATATTTTGATGAGTAATCGGTCACTAGTTCACCTTCATACTGGCATTAGATCGTGCAATTTGAAACACAATGCAAATCAGAGCAGTTGACCATATGAATAAGCAAGGTTAAGAAAGTAGTTCGTCCCATAACTTCGTGTTCAATTAGTTGGTCTAGGTATCGAATGCTAGTTGCTGTTCTTCGTCAGCTTTCTGATGTCCTCGGTCAGTAGGTGCAACGAGCATATATCTGGGGCGAAAATGTGTAGCATTTACATGCCATCTACACGTAATATTCCTAATGGTTGTTCCGTTCCTCTGAATGCAATCCACTGGAGTTAATGAGGCAAATGTTCGCTCATTTTTTCCTATGTTTGTTGTAACACCAGCATTCAATTGGTGCTTTCAGGACGGTGTGGTGAAAAACGTGGTAGACTTAGTCAAAGAGGATACGCACTGGATACAAATATTACCCGCCACACCAAGTGATGTTTCTTCCGCACTGGAGACTGCAGTCAAGGAGTATGATTCATTGCTTTCCTCAAACGCAGAGGCTCGTGTGAGAATTAGGGGTATTCTACTCTGCCCTGGTACTTGTGGGGCGAGAGATGTACTCAAAGCAGTCCACCGGTTATCTTCCAACGAGAGCACCAAGCAGCTTGTTCACTGCGTTCGAATAGGTAAGTATGGATCAAGTGCTTTCTCCTCGCCCTACATTGTCTGATGTTGGCGTATTTTGTCACATGAGTCTAGTGTTCTCAAATCTAGGCAGCCGACGCGTAATACATTCAGTTTCTCTCTTTAAGGCCGAAAAAACAGGAAATTTCTTGCTCCAGGAAGGTGTTATCTCTTGGATGGGTGTAGGGAGAGGAAGATACAGCGCGGGCAACACATTACTCAATAAGAAAAGGGCTATTTGAAGCAGACATTTGCATGTTGAGTTTTAGACTTGGACTCTTTGAACGTCATTACCAAGTCATCACCTAAGGAAATAAATCACAATGTGGCTACACCCAAAACTTTAGACTGGTATTGCATAGTTGTTCACCGAATAATGTAACGTTATACTCTTAACCAAGAGGTATCGTTTGTGCTGCTCTCGCCGACATGTCTACGATAAAGATTATCACCAGTTACGGAGACTAGGCGTACTGAGCTGGTAACAATGATTTTCGTACACTTGCTGTTATTCGTTGAGGAGGAATCTGTAAGCCAAGAATGAATGTGTTTGCTCGAACGATTAGTGCATTATATAATATTTTATATATATATATATATATCATTCAGATAGTATGTTTCACGTACATGGATATTGTTATGGTCAAGCATTTCAAACTGTACGACATGTAGGATTTGAAATGTGTCTCTTTAGCTTCTAGTTGAAAGACATTCGACTAGCCACTTGATTCCATAGATTCGACTATTCCTCCAGGCATATCAACAGAATTAGCCTAAGTAGATGGAGTGATAGCCTCTACAATAAGGCTACACGGCCAAAGAAATCAGCCCACAGGACTGCTTTGAAAAGTTTCGAGTTGCAATGGACAGTGGAACAGACTTTTTTTCGCCTCTTTTTCGGGTCAAATAGGATCGATCAAGCTCCTGAATCACTCCGTAACTCACCATCGTTATTTATTTGCCATTTGCCATTATCGACATTCTTTAATAGTTGGTCATTACTCAGACCGAAGCTTGAGCGTCCATCTTCAACTAACCGAAAGTTTTACTGATGCACTGACTGAATCCGCAAGACGTGGACTGGTATGGGGTATAATCTAAGTGGCTTGAATGTGAACTTTCCGTTGGTTTCTTTCTCCTTCTAAACTGTTATCGGATTGTTGAGCAACTGACTGGTAACTGGCCGATCAAATACACTTGTGGGTGACTTCAGAAGCGAGTAGTCTGCCTTCCGTTACAAAACCATCATTTCTGCAATGACTGAACTTGTCACTTGGCCCGGGTGTTAGCTCAGTTGAATAGGGTTCGAATAAAAGGATATGAGATCAAAGTTCTCATAGATTTCAGCTCAGGAACACTGGAATTCAAGCCCAAACCTGACAACCGTAAAAATCGGTAGCTCTCATCTAAGCCCTTTTCAGTTGTGATGTCCATGATGTGGGTCGTCATACCCAGATGAGGAACCTCCGACGAGTTTTTTTTAATTGCGAAAGTATCTTTTAAAGATGGACAAACTCACCAATAGTGGAAACCTCTCCGATGACTAGCTCCATCCCACGCGCTCCATTTAATCAACCTTGCAAAACATTTCGACTGACTATGCTACCGTGTCTATTCAGATGACGTATACGACCAAAATATCGTACTTTTTACACTCTTTGTGAAATCAGGTTGTGTGGTTACCTGCGTGGATACGCGTGCCGTGTTCATGGATGGTGGAAGGTGAGTCCTTGGATGGTAAATTCTAATTACGTCCGACGATGGCGAGTGTCCTACTACAGAAAGGGGACACGTCTTGGGATGTCAGCTGTTTAGTGACCGATGTCTAACCCATCCCTAAATAAAAGCAGACAGTTTGACGAATTTTCTTTCATTTTACTTTCACCCTTCACGAAACTGCATTCCTAGACTGATACTTGCAAGAAACTGTTTCCCACGTGACCATATCTATCGGGCTAAATACTATATCTCATGTGTGCCCCTTGTGGAAGCAGCCTATATTGCAAAGCGTAAGTTTCCCAAAATTCCCTAATCAGAGAAGCAATATGGTGTTTTCAAGAAAGATAGGCATAGTAGAATATATTTGTATTACACGTATCGCAAGGCTTTATTCAGGGGAAGACTTGAATGAAGAGGTCATGCGGAATTTGAATCTAAGTTGCTTGTTTCCGGAGCACTTTGAACACTTGCATAGTCAGCGGGGGGTTGGTGATTCGAGTTGAGAATCTTCTGACCGGAAATACAAGTCAGGTTTTTTCCACAATGTGCGATGTGCACCTACTGACTACGAGTAGCATGAGCTACAGAAAATCCAGACAAGTAAACATCAGCATATACAACAAGGGATCGATAATCACAGCTGCGTATCTGGCGCTGTTTTCACTTCCTTTCCAAACCAAAGTACAGGTGTGGTTTTTATTTAATGAAAACTTTTTTGAAACTACTGTCTTAGATGACGTGATTTTAAACTGTGCACTCCATACAGGGTCCAGTGAATAATCGCAACCACAAATCTGGTGGGTCTATTGTAGTTCAACAAAATGAGCCAGGAAATTCACGATTTCCCGAAGGATGTAAAGTTGCGTGCAGTAGTGATTCGTTGAGGAGTGCCGCGAAAGCTCAGTTTGTGCAATGTACCAGTGTCCTACAGTTACAACAAACATAAACTCGTTAAATGCTGGTGGCAGTCCGACAAACCGACCGCAAGCTTCAAGTTTAGTTAGGTTTCGCTCGATGCCTTAGTTGAAGGTCATCAGGATAAACTAGAAAATCCATTTGCCGAACATTCTGCTCAACCGACAATCTGTTCAGGCAATCGTTTCCTGTAGAGTGAGTTGCATAGGAGCACTATGGCCAATCATCCATAACTATGTAGATTACTAGCAAGAGACCAAATGACGCGGTAAGGTCAGCTGACTGTTATGCGCACCTATAGTCGCATCAGGGCAAGTGTCGTTGTGACTCGAGTCCTCCACTGTTATGACAACAAATCAAGTCGGGCAGATACTGAACGCCAATAAACAAAAACGATCATTTGGTTTTCTGGCCATTCTCGGTGTAAAAAAGACTCAGTTTCGTGTAGCGCAAGGAACGTTACACTAATATGAACCCAAACGGGCAGTATTGGTCCCAATCCGTGGCATCTAAGAAACGGTCATCGATAACTAAGAGCACAAACCGTCAAGCATATCGCCATCCTGTTGTTAGTGTTTCTTTAATTCTCTCCAGCCGTGAGATGCAATATACGGAGAATACTTGGAAAAAATTTAGTATCAAGAAACTTACAACCAAGGCAGTGTCAAGTGATCGGACCCACGGGAATCCGATTGAGTGTTTTAATAAATTCTTTGCTTACGGTCTGGGGAACCGTAATGATGCACAAGAGCTTTGATTTTGGGCTACATAACAGGACGAATTGCCATCCACGTTTAACTCCCGAAATGGAGGACCAGAAGAATATGTTCATCAAACCCCTATACAATGACCAACTTGGTAGGACCGCAGACGCTGTGCGGAAATGTACGCTGTACCCTGGAGTTACAGGGTTAGGCCACATTTTTTGCCTGTTTGGCTGTTTCAGATGTACCCGTTTACTACAAAGAGAGCTAAGTTGTCAGTGTTTGATCGTTTCACATTCCTTCGTTTTCCACCATTCAGAATGACAGTCCCTGGCCTACTAGAAATGTTATCAGAAGGCTGGACTAATTACATCCTGTCCACTGGACCACCAAAGTCACAGCAGGTCAGTACGATGTCAAACCTCTCACCCAGCTTCTAGAAAACATACACTTCTATTCATTATTTTGAATTTGTCCACAGCCTTGTCTAGATTTTTCTCCCATGAGTCTTCACTACTACTACGGACAACACTTCCGTGTCAGCAGATTTATTTACAATCAACACGAGAAGCGCAGAACATTTTGATGAATTATAATTTCCAAACTTCAAGTGAAATGCATGTGATCACGGACAGCTGATGCGTCAAGTAATCACGTCATTCCTCATCGTTTGGTTCATTCTACTTCGGATCGAAAACTTATCATATACAGGATTATCGTATGGATATCATTCTCGCACGCCACTGACGGCCCCAGCATCATACAAATGTTTTTGAAATGCGTACCTCAGACCTGTACTTTAGTCGAAATGAATGGTCACTGTACCACCTGAGCACACTGTTCAAGCGACGTCTGCTTCGCACTTGTCTTTCTTTCTACTACCACAACTCCTAGATAACGTTTAGCGATCCTCGTGAACTGGATAGAGGAAGTTATGTGGAACATATCGTAACAAATACGAGGATGTGTAGTTCCAGATCTATATGGAGTTTAGTAGATTGATGTAATGTTTTATGAAGGAAGAATCAATAGTGGTTAGTCTGACTTTCTACCAATAAGACGAACAGTATGACGGTTGCACCACACAACAATAACACAGTTTGTCGCGAACCCTATATCCAGCTGTATTTGTCTAACTACGTTTCGATAATCACCCGCGGTGCCCATTAACTGAACTGCACGCGAAGATAGAGTCAAAGCTAGTGGAGTAGTGGTAACAGTCGCCTAGTATGTTAGACGTCCGTATTTGATATCCCAGCATTGTGAAAGATATTCACTGCTGATGAGCTCCAATAAAGTTAATACTGGAGCACAGTGCTTCCCTTATTGTATGGACTCTTCGGAATAATTGCTTCAGGACGGGAGAACTCCTGTGCAAACAAGCGTGATATGAGCACACAAATCTCTCAACTGCGTACAACTAATCCAAACTATTGGTCTAAACCTGGACGACGCAGTGAATCTTGCTGGAAATCGTTCGACCTTGTTCACTACCGGGTGGTTGATTTTCGGCTGAATAACTGTGGTCTACAAGCAAAAGCTGGTCGCTTTCAGTCTGTTTGTTGCTAATATTGAGTTTACGAATGTGAGAGTCGCGTCATTTTAAGTTTTCTCAAAACGTTTGCGTCCCCTGGATAATTTTCGCGGCTAAAATTCGACAGATTTGTTCCCCTTTTTCTCAGGTGCCTGGGTAGTTCGAAACCCCTAAGACCAAAACTACGGAGTCCCTTGGTCGATAAACATGGAATGACGTAGTGAATCATGAGACGCATAAACTACTCGGTGCTTCCAGAAGACTGTAGCCATACAATTATTCCGAGATAAGGGCACTCCCATTTATCCTGAAGCCTGAGCTTGTAAGCAGCTTTGCTTTCTCCCTCCCCGTACGTGCAGGTGGCTGCTACAAAGTTCGGTGTGAAAATGGAGGACGTTGAAGCCCTATTGCACTCCGTCAACCCAAAACTGAGTCAGTTGCCAGCCCCAGAAGGACATGTAGACCGCGGGCACGTTCTCGAAGCTTTGCTTGACGAAGAGGCCTTCAACAGGCCAGGACTAAAGCGCGCCCGATTACTATCTTATCCCAGGTACGCTCAGTTTTCCATTCGAAACAAAACCTTTCACTCCCTTTCACTTTCTAATTGTGCGTATTCGGTCATCAAAATCATTCAAACGGCGACATATGAGTATGTGTTGCTTTGTCCAGATATTCTGGTTAGTGCGTTCTCCTTAGGAATCCTTCTTCATACAGAACATGAAGCCATGAGCTTGTGATTTGTCCGTACCTTGGTTGTAACGGTCTGGTGCACTCCTAAATGGCTTGGACATTTCGTCTTCATTGAGGCTGAGCAGATAGGAGCGAAACGAATCGTCTGCTCTCCCTTATCTTCGTTGGCATCTTATATTCCTTGTTTCCTACAGCCTATTCACTGCTATTCAAAGTCATCATCATCGACAGCATGACATCAGCGTTCAATACCGACGCTTTTCTGCCATAGTCAAAGGCAACTGGAAGAGCCACCATCACAGAAACTTTTCTTTCATTTAAACATACTGAACTACGTAACGTTGCGTTTGCAAATGTATTCGGTGACTGGAACGACATTATTATCTTTATGCCCACTCTCGTTTAGAAATGGCACACAGTTCGTGGAACTGAGTGTTGACATGAAAACCTTGAACAGCATGTTCGAACCAGTTGCAGTGGATGCTACCTTTTCATTGTATTTGCGATGTTCCGAATGTCGAAGTTTCGCACATTTAAAAGGCAAATTTAAAAACACACCAGGACTGTTTCAGTCTAGTCCACTCTCTTATGATCTTCCGTTTTGATTTAGGTTGACGTCCGCAAGTGTTGATACCAGTAGGTCAGAGTATTCAGCTGATCGTCAAATTGTCCACTGCAGAAGTTTCTAAGTTTCCAGTGATGGAAAATAGCTAACTGAATTGAAACAGAATTTACCTTACAATCGCGTCCACTTAACTCACACATTTGATAGTTCAGCACTGAACGACCTCGACTCGAACCCATTGGCTACTTGTCACGAGATCTGTTGATTATATACCAGAGTTCAGTTTCAACAATCTTCAGGATCACCACACGAGCAGTACCTTTAAACGGTTCAGCCCAACGTTCATTTAAAAAACATTCCTCATGTACCGGGAACCATTTCTTTTGCATGCAAAAACTGTGTTCTCATAGTGCGCTCGATTCACTTGATCAGACTGATGTTTTCTATATCCAGCTTGAACACGACGCTAGGTAATCCGAGAATGCACGCCGTAACTCTGCGGTTTGCGCGACCTGTGGAGCGTGTTCGATTTACTAACCATCTGAAAGGTAAGCTAATGCTAGCGGACCTGATAAATAATTGTTTTATATAGAAATCTTGATTTTCGTCCATTAAGCTTGTACTACCCAAAGACTGGCTTCCAGACAAGTTTCACTTAAATTTCATTTTGTTTAGTTCTTTATCTACGGGATAGCTTTGAATTTTTCAATGGCACATACGCCCGTGATCATCGTTCAGCCACAGCGTTTTTCTCAAAAAGACCTATATCCCATCCCAGAGAAGAAGCGTGTTCGATTTACTAACCATCTGAAAGGTAAGCTAATGCTAGCGGACCTGATAAATAATTGTTTTATATAGAAATCTTGATTTTCGTCCATTAAGCTTGTACTACCCAAAGACTGGCTTCCAGACAAGTTGTTTTTTGTGGATTTTGGTGATTGCAGTTGAACTCTAGGAGATAGTAGATTATGATTGTCTTCGCCTTCAAGGTTCATCGCTGTGTTTTGTAAACACCGACGCATCGCATGTAGCATCGGTGAGTGAATTGCAAAAGAAACAAGAACATTTTCTCGGTATTTTGAATGGTGTGACTCTGATGGTGTGCACAACTTGGTTCGGCCACGCTGACGTACGTGCAAAACCACCGAAGTCGAATCATTCACTGGAGGCTTATCAACAAATACGGTACTATGAAGACAATGATAAAATGGAATTATGTCGACATCTACACAGTTGGTCACGTGCGGTTCCAAGCGGAATTCTATACAAATAAAGTAAAATAATAGGCCTACCCGATGTGAACATCGGGTGAGGACAAAATGGATACAAGATGGATAAACCCACGTGGCTGCCAAGGTCAGAGTGTTTTGGGTTCAGATGGAGAACAAGGAAGGGGGACAGTTACAAACAGTGGAATCCCGTTGTATACAAAACGAAAGGAGGAAGAGAGCAACAGTAGGGGAGTTTGAATAAGGAAATTCGGATGCAAGAACAATCGGTTATCCATTCGGAACGTTCCGCTAACAGTCTTGAGCGGAATAACCCATATGGCAAGCGAATACGTACTCCGTTGAACGCATGCAGATTTACTTATCAGTGAGATTATTGTACTTAAAGCCTGAATTTTTGTGTAAATGGATACGAGGGCCTTTGCAACTGACCGATTCACGTTCTGATTGTTTCGTGTTCTATTACGATAAGTTTGATCAGATTAAATTGCCCAAGAGAGTTATGGCCGATTTATGAGTGTATCTACCGCGGGAGATTTATCCAACACTTCTTTCAGTTCTGATGTATTGTAGTGATAGTCTTCATCCACTATTCTTTCGTTCGTCCAGCCATATTCGCCAACTTGAAGCCTTGGCCTTTTTACGGAAATCTGTACAGCGTTACTGGTCAGATCGGATTCACTGGAGGTACGTCTTATTCATGTGTACTGATCGAGTTTTACGACATTGTTTGAAAGAAGTGTTTAAGAAATACTCCCATCTTCTGTAGATCAGAGCCATGTCTAAACTCCGAGATGGAAACGGATTTGGGAATTGTGGTGAGGGTTGCGAAACCGAGGATGTGCTCTTACTGCATGTCCTCATACACTAAAAGACTCATGTGAGACAACACTTTCGAGAGGGTTGCATAAGCAGATGCTTAGGAACAAATTGGTCGGAGGGGTCAGACTATAAAATCATTTCCACTGATGAGGCTGGTAAGACCAGTAGTTATGTGAAAATGTATTATCTCTTCACGTATCACCAAGTCCAGGCTATGTTTCACGTTCGTAGATTATTATTCCGGGCTTTCCAAGTTTGTTTTGACAACCAGGATATTGTTAGGCGATGAAAGTGGTGTTTTTTTCAAGCGAGTCACCAAAACTCTTGGACTTGCAGCCCTGTAAGTGGCCCATCTGTTTCAACTGTTTCAACACTGTTTCATCACGTGTTTAAGCCGGTAATCAAGGCACCAGATGTTTCCTTAGTTCGCTCCGAGCTGATCAGAGAGGTAGCTGCTCCAGTGCAACGCCTGTCAGTTAACCGGGATGTCAAACTTCTAGGCTGGCGATTTTGTGGCGATAAACACGGGATTTCCTTGAGATACAATGCTTGCTTTTTTTAATACCGAGTCTCACGGGTCCCCAGTCCTCATAACTCCTCATAAGACTTTTTAAGAATGCAACATCCATGATACTGCTTCGGTACATTCCGCTCTCAGGAAACATGCAAGACGAAGCGATGTCTGGTCGCCAAGCCCCGAATAAGAGTTGGAACTCGAACCAGCGATAGGTCACGACCTATTACAGGTGACATTTCTATATCACTGGATCAATGTCGTACTGGGACACGATTCACTGACTTGATTTCCCATAACATGTCGATGATGATGATGATGATGATAATGATCAGTGTGATGAAGACTCAAAAAATAGTGCTCCACTTTTTTATTACTCAACATAGAACCCGATAAAATCTACGACGTGTTGCACCTCACGCTAAATGGAATCAGTCGAATCAGTGTGAATACAGACGATTCTGACTTGTCACGGAAAAGAAAAGCAAACAAGCCTTTTTGGCTGACCGGAATCTTGGCTGCACCGCCAACAACCAGTAAGGAGTCAGACGAGTGGCTATCCAATCAGTTTGCCAACTGGTTGAGAAAATCAGGACCACAACAGGAAGCAATTCGTCCGCCATTGCGACTGTCGGACTTGTCAAAGGCTGACCTGGAGAAAATACATGTGAGTAGTAGATCGAATGGAACACCGTCTCCTTTACACTTCTCGAGTAAACTATGACCCTCTAGTGAGATTCACTCGAGCACCCTAACTGTTAGTGGCACAAGTTCCAGTTTTGCGCATTGGAACTGAATCCATTGCGACTCCTAAGAACGACCTGGTTACAAAAGTGTATTTGAGAGAAAGCATAGATCAAAGTACTGCGTTTGGGTACTAGCACTAGCACTTCACTGCAAGTTTCCGTCTCCTGTATACCACTATGAAAAGCTCTCAAGTGCGCATATATGGTGATCAGGGGGGCATAATAACTTGGATATAGTAAACTTGAGTTTAGCAAAAATTCCATGATGAAGTGCGGGAGTGATAAAAGCACATATGGTTATTCCAATTTTATGGAGACCCTCGATCCACAAACTGGCCCTTTATTCGCTGTGGTCAATCACATGCGCATACAATTACTGACTACTATTACTCACCGAATGAGTACGTTTGTCGTCATTTGGTCGATAGTTCCCGTATCGTGTTAGTAAAGCATCGCCGAATCACACAAAGTTTGGTGAACTGATTCATTATAAGGAAGAAGAAAGAGATCAAGCAGTGGATAACAAATGTGATATAGCTCATTCTGGGCCTTCGACAACCAATAAGGTCTGGACTTTATGGAAATGATCAGCAACTCTGCAGTGAATCCTGGGGTAGGACAAGTCTGGACTTCAATAATCGGGTAGGGATCATAGGAAAACTTAATTCGTAAAAAGCACTTGAGTAAACCTGAAAAACACATATGAGTCAGAATTTACCGAAGTGATGGATAAGTTACTGTTTTGTAGAGGTATACAAATTTCGATGCAGCTTATTCCACGGGGCATTAGTCAACCATATCGTAACCAACCTAAAATTGGTTTAGGAGCTCTCAACTTTCACCTTCACACATGCTTGTATTTTCGGATGTCCATTTCGAAGCCGACAATCGCAGCTGCGGCTGAAACGGTGAAGTGCAGTCGTGAGAGCACACTGAAACTGACGACTCAGTTGTCAGCATGCCCGGTCGGTTCACCACAGTAAGCGCTACCGTAATCTTCCAGCAATTCAGTGTTTTGAAACCCCGTGTCTTCGAGCTTAGGACTGGTATACATCCCGAGGAAATAAATAAATGTCCCATTGATTCAAAAGTGATTACGAATCCAAACGAAACTGCGAATTTATGACACCAAGATTCCTGAAAAGTTGGAGGGTAATCTGTAAACTAGAGTAGGCTAAATAAACCGTATTTGTTTGCACTAACCTGTAAGTACTGAATGTAGTTGTTAGGTCGTAACTCAGTTCAGTAATATCTTTTATTAACTCTTCAATCCAATCAACATTTTAAGCTCCAAATGAACATACTAATTCAGTTATTTCGTGCTGCGGTGCAGAGGATGTTGACAGGTTTCTGAAAATTTGGCGGCCGTGGGAGACGAAGTAGATAATGTTCCCTCTGAGAATAATTCAAATGACTATCCACACACATAATAGGGGGCCGAACATTTTCCAAGGAAATTAGAAAAACCTGTTGGTCATTCCATCGGGGCAGCACATATCATACTACTATGTTACAGACTTCATCAATCTCTCGATCTGTTTCTTTTTCCTTTTTCAAAAGGAAAAATACCACCTTCACCCTCTGCCCGCTGGCTGGTACTACACTGGGTCATACTACGTGAATATGAACGGAGACAAATCTTTTCAACACCCAAGTAAGATGTAGTTTTCTGATGCGTGCCAAAACTACGGTATTTGCAGTTGTTACTGGATGTGCTTCTCTGTTTAGGCTTGAGCAACCTGAGGGTATCCCAGCCCTCGTGCACCCTTCTGGTGGCTTGGCAGTTAGGCACCGAAAGGATGCTACATCTGAATGGTAGCGAAACTCCCTCCCCCCCAAACCCCGTGCTACAAGTAGGATTATTCTGGTTCACAGCGATTTCTTGAGGGTGCATTCAACGAGTTAAGTCGAACAGGTCAGATATACAATGTTCTCTTTGTTTGACCCTATCCATTGGCATGTTCAGTGAATAGCATCCCACAGTCTGCTATCCGTGTTCTGTGTGATGGAGCCTTCGGAACATGATACCACAAAGTTTACTGAAGACAAATCTCAAATGAATTGAGAGCAGCAATATACTTGATGGGATCCGTAGTAAAAGGCTCAGTCTCTGGACAAGCTAAGAAAGTGCAAAAATCACAAGTCACGACCGGAACCGCCAGCGCAGAAATGGATACTGTTAGACTGTATGACAGCTAAGAACCTTTTTCCGCGTCACGAGTTCCGACTATTCATTCTAATAAATAGCTGATTCCGGACTTTTCGGAGTGCATTATCCACATGCGAAACGTCACCGTTTAGCAACAGCATTTGGTATTTTCTAACTCATCTCCTACATCGTGGGTGACGTAGCATTGAATGTTCCAACATCTAGAAAACTGTGGCAGAATCGATATTTGAGGAGCTCCCCCTTTCAACATGCACTGAACAATAAAAACACAAACAAATAGTTAGCTAGGTAAGTGAGAAGGGACGAAGTACAGTTGTACAGTCAACAGCTGTGGTAATACATTGCTTGCATTGGTTTCACACGACAGTTCTGGTTACACTACCAACCCTGTACCATCCCTCACGGACCATCCGAATTGGCCTGAACATGTGTTACCATGAGCTTAGCTACGTTCTTGTAAGCTATTCGTTTTATTGACCGCTTCCATTCACCAAGCCTCCTGTTACCTGCCTGGACAAACATCTGTAGATAGGTGGCGAAAAACTTTATTCAGTCAGATCGCGGACAATACTTTGCTGCGGCTACAGCAACATGGGACCTGGATGAATTCCATTAAAAGAGTCACAAAAGATCAGTCGTAGGTGGCTACTAGATTTGTAGAGTTTGCATCCACATAACTTATGTTCGAACAGTCTTCCTCCCATCCTGGTGTAATTATTCCCGTGATTTTACTCGCTTGTCTGTTTGGACGTGATAATTCAAATACACCCAGTGTGCACTGTGGAGTGCGGGAACACGCTCACCCGCATGTCCGGAGTTCTAACCCCGGCACGGCTATGGATATGCACTGCTAACGAGACCTAATAAGAGCGAAATTTGACTTTGCTGACCCCGCCCCCCTATGATCTGGACTCGCCGGAATAATTGTGCCAGGATAGGTGGACGCGTGTACAAACAAAGGTAACGAGGGGTAGAGGTTAGTGATGGATGCGACGAAGAGCGCTACAAAAAGCCAAAAATATTGACTTTGGAATAGAAACAAGTTCACATACGGTGTGAAGGTCAATGCTTACCGAGTAGGAAACAGTAAAATTTCCAAAGTTTAGTAGTGACACGACCTTCAGTTGTATGCTACGAGAGAGAGGAAACCGTCTGATGCAGTCATGAACTATTCGCTGACGACAGCGACGTCGTGCAATGAACGAAAAATATATTTTCGCACCGGAACGCATGACGTTCCTGTGAATTTGCCTCCAGACACTGGAGAGACAACGAACTGAGGCCGTTTATCTTGCCACCACTGATGTTCTATAGAAATATGCTGACAATCTGGTCTTAGAGCATGGGCCATGACAGATGAGCGAGATTCTGATAGAAAGAGTTCCAAGATTCTCTTTTGAACATTAGATTAGTGGGGCATTGGTTAAAACTAACTTCCGTAATGTCTGCCGCGAACGACGCACGAACGTACGACGTATGTTGTGAATAGCTGAATTGCTCGAAATTACATGGAGTTAACGCGGTGAGGCTCTATTCAAGAATGACAGTGAATTACTCAGTCTGTGCTTGTCTAACCTAGTTCGGTCTGCCAGAGAGAATGAAACCGTTCCAGGCAACTAGGGTGACTCAACATTAGTGCCAAGTTTCGAAAAGAGAACTTGCAGTGAATGTGTTAACCATAGGGAGGTCAGTTGGACTCCCGCTGTAACAAGACTTCTGGCACCACTGATTATCCGTCGTATTACGGCGGCGCGCGAAACCTTGACCATCAGCATCAAACGGGATTTCGATCGGGTACAGACTGTGTCGACCACGTCTTCATACTCCGTCAGGTATTAGACCCACGTTACAATCTTGAAATTCCTTGAGTTCCGGGCATGTGGAAGTGTATGGTTAGCTTTCCAAAAACTTTCCTACAAAATGTGGTGTACGAACAGGGATATCCGATCTCTGTTCCTTTTGAACTGTCGTCGATGAAACAATGAGGCGAAAACTGGAAGTTCTTCAAAACCCCGGTGTTCAAGTCCTTGCTGGTTAGAATCTAGTCAAACTGGGGTAGGCGAATTATTCACCCTGATCTTTGAGGACGTAGGCGAAGCACAAACCCTGACCACCGTCAGGGCATGTCTTGAATCTTCAAAGTGCAAAGTCGCGCCTAAGAACATGCAGTCTCTGTACAAACCCTTTTACAATTCAAGGAGAATCACCGGTAGTTGTAGTAGCTATGACGGAAGTGTGTTCAAAGTGAAAGCACGAATCCGAATCAGGCTTGACAATTTGCGTCACTTGTGCCGTCAGAGGCATGTCACTCGATCTCAAGAGTCGTTCTGCCGTATGGGCTGTTGCTGTGTGGTTCCGAAATGGACTCCGCAGACAGATGATGTGGAACGTCTTCAGGTTTTTTACCACTGATGTCTCAGATGCGCTGCTGATGTCGGATAGCGTCAACAAATTCGTAAAGGAGTAATTAGAAAACGGGTATTTGGTTGTGCAACAGGTACGCAGAAGACATCCAGTTCAATCAACTGCGGTAGCTTGGCCGTTTGCTTAGGATGAAGACATAGCAAGAAGTGGCAGCTGATCGATGCCAGTGGCGTTTGTGCTCAGTCTCTTCCCAGATCGTCTGATTGAGCGCCTTGGTGCCTTGGTGTGGGCACCTCAGGATGCTCGCGATTGTCCGGCGCCGGATCCCCTTACCCATACGTTTTTTTCATTTTTCATTCTAAGGCTTCAAATACAATTAGATTTTGTGGTCTTACGGCGGTGAAGCGTCGGTGGCAACACTGATGTTGCTGTCTCAGATTATGGTGAAGCCCTAAAAAATCTTGACCGTACAGCAATCATTGTGGGTCTATTCAGCCCAGTTCTGTGCGACAGCTAGTGATTTTTTTCATTTTCTTAATCGTTACAGACTTTGACGCGTTCGTACAGGAATACTTGGAAGGAGAAAACACTAAAATTGCTGCACGCAACGCAAGAATCGTGAACCACCCCATTCCTGACTTATTCAGTGAGCCCTCGTAAGGGTGGCCTTTAACTCCCAGTGTTTTGCGTGACGTTTTTCTGCTTGATAGATGCATTACACGCTTAAAAATTTTACGGAAATTTTGTCCGACTCGGGTGCTTATAAACAACAAAATACCAACCAGCGGAACACAGAATATTCGTCACATTTTTATGCTCGAAGAAGGCAGAGCACAAGCACAGCAGAAACCACTAAATACGGGGAAACTGAAAGTGCTTGATTCCGTATTTTCCATAGTTTGTGTGCGTTGATGTGCCATTTCCAAACCCATAATTGCTTGAGTAAGCGTAGACGGAGAGGCCAACCTTGATTAAATGTAAGACCCAAAAGAGTCTATTTTGCTCAGTAGACGGGTAGAGCTCACAGCGGAGCCACGAATTTAAGGGGCGTTTTTTTTCTGGGAAAAGTTGAGAAAATACTAAGCGTGGATACTGTACACTCTAAGGATGAATGAAAAAGCAATGTTCTCGATGACTAAGGCCGGATAAGAGGCTCGGCAGTAATGACATCTTGAACAAGCCCCGCCTAGTTCGTTGCACGATGAAAGTCCCAGGAACGCACGAAATGCTGTTCGATTACAAGTAGTCGCAAAAAATAGGCAACGGAGCATGGGACCGAAAAGGGACAGGATACCTGTTTCGGAAGGAATGCGGACCCAGAACATTCAGAAAGATTGTGTTAGATAAAGTCGTTCAATGTTTTTGTCGTAGGGTGACAGACTACATAATGCAACGCAGGTTGTACATGCTACACAAATGGTTATTATTATCACCGTTAGGCGGTTAAAATAGTAGCCACGCGCTTGCAGGAATACGGTGAGCATTCCGTTCGTGGTCTAGGAAACCAGTCGGGTACAATGACAACTAAAAACCAGTCGAAACTCACTGGAATTTGAAATCAACCGCATTCACTTAGAACGATATCTAGGTCCCGTTAGGGCACTAGTACCCAAGCTTTCTTTGACGCATTCGAACGCCGGTCACGCACTCACTTGTCCTTCCATAGAAGCAGAAATATGGCAAACTCTTGGCGAGAGTAGCATCTAGTAGGGTAAATTTTTCACAATCACTATAATTTGAACCCGTTATATTCGACTGTCAGTTGAGCTAGATGCAATAGTTCATTTCCGCAGTTTAAAAATCCTTCCAGTAAAGGCTATATCGACAGAAGCTCGGTAGTAAAAGTGCAGACCTACTGACCGGAAGGTCCATGCTTTGAATCCGACCCGATTGCTCCTGTCTAGGCTCGGGCAAACTAATAATATCTCAGTCCCTGTTCTTCCTGCGGATACTACGGCAGGTATGAACCGAAAGGGCGTTACAGCTGAGCGATTAGTAGTTTATTTATCAGACAAGCTAGCAAAGCAAATGTGGGATAAAATTTACTCCGGATGCTCTCATAAGTGGGCTAACCACGACCTTCTGCACCTTCAAATGCAAGCAATTTCTTGAGGTCTGGTAAGTGAAATATGTTAGGATGTTGGAGCCATGCCAAATTATGCTTATTGATGGAATAAAGATGACAACCGTTAGGTAAACACAGGCCACATTTCTGGTCGACTGCGGTCTTGGAAAGACTGGCGAAGTTCCACTACGATGCGATCATTACAAAAACAGCTGTTCGCCGTCTAGTTCACTTTATAAAACCACCGTGTAATGATAAACGAAAGATAGCGATGCGATCAAACCATTAGCTGCAACTAGTTGTGGTTACGTGCAACATTTTAATCAGAACAGAACAGCGTATTGTCATACAGAAGCTGAGCCGACCTACGGTTTGGGACATGGCCCCTTGGCCACTGTCCACACATCAAACCGAATCCTGGTCTCTCGAGTGCTGCTGTCTAGTACTGGGCGATCTAACAACACCTGAACCGTCGTGTTTCGTTCTGGCTGCTCTGCTGGGAAACTGAACTATCTTTGATCGAACTGATGATATCTGAACAAAGTCCTTGAAATCGTATATTTGAGAGGCAGAGAGGCTATCATATCACATCTGCAGACTGGAAGCATCAAATATTGTTGTGGAAGGGATCTAAGGCAGTCGGAAAGTTTACGGTTACCTCTCAAACCGTTTCCGTCACGAAGAGACTGGACATTACCGTGGTGTGACGGTTTGCGCACCTCAGCGATCCACTGAGCTATACTGGAGAGTGTCCCGCGACACTCACAGAGTCTCATACCAGATTGGTCAATGGTTAGAGGTCTGACGAACACAGTCTCCTGGCCCTCCAGGTTGGGGGTTGGAACATGTGGCGACTTGTTCCGTAGAAATGGTAA